TGAGGGGTCGACTGATGGTTTATTGGCCTACGGTAGTCAGTCTTCGCCAGTGTATGGGAGTCGGTTGAGTATGCACGTGGATAGGCATAAGTCAAAACGTCAGTAAGGCCTACTGGACCGAGTATGCTGACAGACAAGACGAGGGCAAAGAAGTCATCACATTTAGAAAACTATGCAACATGAAGACTATATGTGTGCTTCACTAGTTCGCAGCAGCTAGATGGCACACGCAGAGCATAAATATTCCCACAGCAAGTAACATGACCGCCAAAATTCTGTTTGGGTAGGAGCCCAACATTTAGCTTCTGAGCTGGGAAGAGGGATTACTCTCAGAATTAACCAACCAACCAATGCAAACCTCCGTGGGAGAGTAAAACTCCAAATCTTATACATTTGAAGAAAAAACTAGGACAGATGACAATCGAGAGCAGACGTTTTCCCCTCATTATAAGGGCCCCAAGCGTAGTAAGGGAAGTAAGAGTTAGACAAACTCATAACGAACTGATAGCAGCGCCTTAAATCCTCCTTTAAAATTAACCTTTTGATATTAGGAGAGGATATTGATCTTTTTTTCGGAAAAGATTACTTCGGGCGAGAAATTCAGTGCTCTAACAGCAGCAGGAAATACGATCAGAGACTTTGTGGGTCTGAATTTCAATGTCAATAATAGCGACATGAAGTGTAAAAGAAGTAGGCTCCGTTGATACGATCGCCCGAATTCATCGTGTCCAAACACTGCAGTCGAGGGGAGCTTTTTGAGTATGTTAATGGGGCCAAGTCAACGTAGTGAGATCGAGTTTCATTGTAACGAACAGGACGTGGTAGGATTTGGTATGTCCCATACATTAAGCGGATTTTTGACAACGCCACATACACGTACGCACAGTTCTGGCAAACGGTTTAACGGGAAGATTCTAAGGATGAACAGTTTACTAGATTGTTTATGAAAACGGTTAAGAGTTGTTTTACCTAATTCGAAACTACCAGGCATGAAAAGAAAACACCGTGGATTTGACGAGTGCCTAATCTGCTTCATTCACATCACCGCAAAGGTAAGCACCGAAAAAAAAATAGTCAAAGGACGAGACAATTCGTGGATTCATATGACGTGACCTCCTTTTTGGAAAAAAATGTTGCAGGCAAAAGCACTGCGTCTATTCTGCACTTCGAGAAAAAAACAGCTGAACAGACACAAAATCCAAAAAACAAACTGTGGTATGCGTTGAAATTAATAATAAACTGAGGAGAGGGCGTCTCCGATATGCTTTCACGTGTCAAGGACGATCTAGATGGGCTTGCAAAGTAAATTAGCATGACATATAATGCCAGTTCGGCTGGGCGCCTTTCCATCCACATGTGCAATTGAGAATGGATAGAGAAGGATTCATAACCCGTACGTATTCTTGACTGATCTGCTCCGCCTCTGTAAGCGGCATCATGGTACTTACACGTGACAGACAAAAATGTATTTCCTACCAGACAGAAAAAATAATTCTGCAAACATTGCATTTGCAGGACATCTGTCTGCTTCGGTTTCAAAAGTAAATCAATTTTACCGATGCCAGGAAGCTGGTATGATCATTCGTACAGCTTACAAGCTCCTACTTCAGTAATGCAACTGATAAATTATGCAACGCGACCCAGGTCTGCAGCAACAGTGTTTACGTACTCGGAGCAGTCAGTGCAGGAAAGGACAAAAATATGTTAATTTGGCCCATGAACTGTTGGCATGGACTTTCGAAACCGAAAGTAGAAAACACTGGCTGCTGGCTATGTGCAAAACTGATGATTGTCAAGCATGATCAGGCACCAAAAATTAATGGAAGTTGGGATTTTTCGATTGAAGGTTCTATAAGTGGCTGAAAAAAATCAGAAATCAGCAATTTATAACGTGTCAAAGTAAGGTTTTCTACTGAGAAGGATGTAAGAAACACCTTGTTAATGGTTCACGAGCTTCGAAGTATACTACAACCCCACCCAGCCGGACAACGCATCTAAAGCTCAATTCTAAGAGAAACGAGTGAGGTTACTAGTCAGGACAACCACTGATGTTGTAACTTACCATACTAACAACCCAGGTACAAGCTAAAAGGATCAGACACGTGCTTCGCCGGTATTCTGCCGCTGCTTGACCTAGCGGCTCATCAATGGGTCCCCCAGCTTTCCCGGTTTGCGTTCTGCTTGATATACCGGATGTTTTTGCCTTTAGACCTTAAATATACCGCTGTATGCCGCGGACAGAAGTTATTTTCTAGGGGCAACCATTCTTGGCTGTGGAAACGTAGCCTGTCACTAGCAGCCAGGAAGATCTGTCATGGGGAACCCTGATACTTGACTCAAAGAGGTACGAAAGTGTGACGAAAAAACCCTGTTCGCAGTGGACTATTCCTTTTTACCAGTGAAGCTTTCTACGGACGATACTTTCTTGCAACGCGGTTTAACTTGCAGGGCTGCACGTGCGCAATAAAAATCTACCGGAACCCGTATATTAGGCTTCCTGGTTGGACCGAAGAAAAAACGACTAACTGGACGAATACTTCTGGCAGGAGCTTCGAAGGCGTCAACCTATAGGTCAGGTGACAGAACAGGAATGCAAGCAACCCTGATAAAAATTGATAATGCAAGCAAGCCTGATAAAAATTGATAGTTCACATGACTTCAGGGGAGTAAGGCAAAACGCTTTCCTTCCTGCTACGCATCTGTGCCTGAGACAACCAGAATTTCGTTTATCCAGGGACCTGATGCAAAACAAGATTTGGGACAGCCACATGGGACCAGTATGCCCTGCGTTAAGTTGATAGGGACGCACTGCTTTCCCCACGAAGCTCCCGATCACAGCAGCCGACAGAACGTGGGCTTGTCGTTCACCTGAGACAGTGAGAAGTTGGACCTAGCTGGAGCCTCATGTCTTCGCGGTGTAACAAGCTGATACTAGACAGTTTAGTGTTCCTTTGGCTTGCATACTTCTTGCTTGTAAATTGGACCAACGCCAATTTGTAAACTGGTCAATGGACTAGAGCAGGCTATCCTAAATCGGCAAACCTTCGGTCAGTGTTTTGCAGCTGCATCCCTGGCCAGAAGGCATCTCTCGAGAGTGATGGTTGTCAAATTGAAGAAGTAGACAGCTTCAAATACCTCGCGGCAAAGCTGCTGCTACTTCTGAATGGACAGCATAAAGACGACGCTGTCTAACCCGAATACACGTTGCTTTTCGGGTTTTCCAAAGCCTCAGGAAAACACGATATCACCATTGCCACGATGACTTGCGTGTATCGTACATCACTTCAGTCTGTCCTTCTCTATGACTGTGAATTCTGGGCTGCGGGTTTACTTGCCCAGATTTCTTACCGCGAATCTTCCTCTTCAGGTGTAGTTCAGGACAGCATTGGGGGCTAGTTAGCTCGGGCACGATAACACCCCTACCAAGTACAAGTACGCAGTCGGTCAGCAGAGAAAACGTTATGGGGAGAGTCAGAAGATGCGTATTACCAAGGTTGTCATCTTGAGGGAAAAGACAAGAGATAGCGAAGAGGGGAGGGGGGGCTCGGGGACTAACCGTACTGCGCGCAGATTTGCGCTAGTCGAGGCGGCGTCCAAGTCACGCACAAATGACTCCTCTAGGAGTTTTGATACCGTGCTCCAGGAAAGGTCGCCTTGCTCCGCACAAAAGGCCATGAATCGTTTGTCTGAACCAAAGGACAGAAGCTGAGGAGGCGCAATCCTCGTCAGCATCACAACCTAGTCAGAAGTTGGGCGTGCAAACACTGTAAGAGGGCAGGCTCGCACACGCACAGCAAAGGGCACAACATGGGTAAAACAAGGGATCCAATAAAACAAAAAGGAGGAGGCGGAATAAGAAGTGATTTATTGCGTTCAACACAAAAATGCAATAAGAGCACACAAAATTGTCGTACTTCCGATTGGTTGAGTAGGAGGCACAGCCGAAAAAGCAAACTGGACGAGGGTGAGTAAATTAAGAGGACGGTCGTTATGCTAACGAGCTTCGCCCTAACAAGCAATGCAACAAAAAGTAAAAAAATAAGACGCCAGCTTCGTTGGCTTGTTCAGTGAGAGAATGTACCAATTGGAAGAGACTATGCGATCGCTATTCGCGCCGCAGGTGGTGCTGATACACTGCGCATCATGCGAAACACACGGACGCAGACGAACACTAGGAATGGGAGAACGACACACAATAGAAGAGCGTCAGAGGCCGTCCAAGTTGGTATTTCTTTTGGGAAGATCGGTTCACCAGGACAAAGGCGTTCGAAGCCATGGAGGCTTTCGGGGACTGAAGCGAACGGTTTTGCCAAGACACCTGACTCAGGAAATGGGATTTCTGGTGAGGGGTCTAGTGGCGGTAGAAACCTGAAATGCAAATGCGAAAAAATATTTTGAGGAGGGAATCATCGAAAGGGAGGAGATTTAAAGAAAAAAATAACTCTTTTAAAAAATGGGGCAATTCAGGCCGGAGGCGAGCACTTCCGCTGCACTGGCTGAGTATACGCCAAGCTCTGCTTGCAGACACATCCTGGCAATTGGACCGGCG